TATGAGTCACATTATAATTGCGATTTATTTCATTTAAATTGGAAAATTAGAAAGCGAAACAATAGATTTGATCGTTATTATTTTATTGGTATAAATTTGACTCGAAGAGGTTTAGAAGAACGTAAAATAATATTTCCTGTAATTTTAATATCATCTAATTCGTCGACTGGTTCCAAATGATAGTTGTGTAATATATAAGCTATCATTAATTTCATTTCGAGCATAGCGAATTTTTGACCTGTCAAAATAAAACAAAAATATTAAAAATAAATGAATAAAACAAAAAGAGAAAAGTACAAAGCCGAAATAATAAATAATTTCGAGCTGATTGTTTGTTGATTGCAATACCTACCGATACAATTGCGTAACCCTGCGCTAAATGGTATGTACGAATATGGATTACGTCCTTTCATGTTTTCTGGTAAAAATCTATCGGGATCGAAAACATTTGGGTTCGGCCAATATTCTGGATTTCTGTGTAAATGGTAGATGCTTACGCGGCAATTAACACCGGCTGGGATTAAATAATTATCTGAAAAAAAAAAAAGATAAATATATATATATACATATAATACGTGCCCGTTAGTTCTATCATTTGATATCTCGAATAATTGTCCAGAAAAAGGGTATTGATAAAAATAAATTATTATTTTTTATTAAATTACATCACATACCCAATTGCAAATCCTCTGTCAAGTAACGTGCAATAAAAGGAATGGTGGGATACAAACGTAGTGATTCTTTTATGCATCTTTCCATAAATGAAAATTCATTAAGCATTGACATCGTCAAATCGCAATTATTCTGTTTCATAACGGCGTTCACTTCTTCTCTTATACGTTCCTATAAGTCAATAAGATCACGTGTTAATTATGCATTATAAATGCAGATATCTTTCGATCGTAGTTTCTTTTTTATTATATAAATCACTTCGCTCGAAAGTATTACCTGTATTGATTTGTATTTTGCAATATGTAGCAAAGCAAAACATAATGACGTTGCCGTAGTGTCATGACCCTGTAACAATATATTATTTTTTATTTTCTTGTTTATCCTTTTCCACGAATCATTTACATATATCTTTTATCCCACAATATACTTTACGCATTATGTAATATTTGCACGTACGGCAAATATGAAAGTATCGACTTCTTCTTGAATTCCTTTGTCATCGATTTGATTATCGTTCATCGATGCGGCTATCAGAAGATCTAACATAGCATATCTTTTCTTCATCAACGTATCTGTAACGAAAAAAAAAAAAAAAAAAAAATAAAAGAATAAAGATCGATTGTTGCTTCATTCCTTTTTCATCGATATTATAAATCATATATTGTCATTGTAAAATTAAAAATACTCTTGTTAATATCGTTGGTTCCGTTGGTGAATACGTCGTCCTTCATGTTGTCGAAATTTTGTAAATATTTCCCGTTGGTTTCTTGATGAAAACGTTTCCTTTCTGCAATTATCTGAAATAATGGTAAAAAAAGAAAAAATAAACGAATTGATCGATTATTTGCTTGATTTTGAAGTGAGAAAATAAAAGAAATCGTACGGTTGATGAAAAATCGTGCAAGATTTTTAAAAGTTCCTTCTGCTTTCGTTCAAGTGATGTAAATGAAAATATAAAATCTGAATGATACCAGGGTCTCCCCAATCTAACAAAAAAAAGAGAAAAAAACGATAAATCTTTTTCTTATTATTAGAGCGATAATCTACTCTGAATAAATAAATATATATATATATATATATATATATATATATATATATATGTATGTATGTATATAGAATTGTTTAATTACCTGTATGGTACGATTTTGCCAAAAGCGTGTACAGCTTCGCGATATTTACTCTCTAATTCACTTTTATCCTTTAAAGATGTACCCATGGCAGTTTCTACGAAAATAAACATTAAATATAAATCATTTATCCTTTTTAATAAATATTATAAAAATTATATTTAAGATATTTATCTGAATTGACTAACTAACCGCATATAGCGTTTAAAGAGTGCTCGGTAATAAATGATATGAGATCTTTAATTATTGGTCCATCTTTAGATTCCTTATTGAGTATGCTTATAAGATACTTTGCCTCCTCGTTGAAGGTCATAACAAAATGTTCAAGGATATTAAAATGAAATGCAGGTGTCAACAATTTTCGCCGTTTGTGCCACTTGTCACCTTTCAAATAAGACATTGTCTTAATTATCATTTAATTAGAAATAATAATTATTTAATTAGAAATTATTATATCAAATTTATCATTATTACCATTAGTTATTAGCAATCCATCAGACAGCCAAGGTTTTAGGAATTTATAACCAGTACCTTTTTCTATATGTTTGGTACTCTTCATTAGTTTCTAGTGAAAAAAAAAAATTTATTTATATATTTTTTTTTATTTTTTAATTTATTTAAATTTATATTATTTATAAGCGTTCATATTAAGAAATATGTATATATATATATTTTTTTTTTTTATATTAAATTATAAAAAAAAATTTACTATAATTTTCAACTTGTCATTACTTACTTCAACATCTTTCGGATCAAGTAGAATTACTAACGCAAAAAAGAAGGACCATATTTTATAGATCGGATAATATTTTATATCTTTGTTTACAGTTTTATCAAAAGCATCGTCTAAAGGATAAATAAATCAATTGTTAAATTAATATTAATGCAGTCTAAATTTCACATTAAACGATCACATTAAAGTTCGAACAAAAGCTCTTTTTTTTTCTCTTCCAAATGGTTTTTTTTCTCTTACCATTGTCTAATCGAAATCTTGGCACATTACCAATTATCGGAATTGATTTTGGTCCTGGAATTAGTTCAAGAAGTCTTCCTATTCTTCGGTATTTTATAAAATAGTGTAATAAGATTAAAAATGATATAAAACCCAAAAAAATCGTGAACATTATATCTGTGAAAGAAGCGAAAAATTAATTGAATAAAATGCTTTACACACACACACACACACAAAATATATATATATATATATATATATATATAATTTTGTAGATAGCAAAAACGAAAAAAAGAAAAACAAAAAATAAATTACTGTGGGTAATATGAAAACGTATAAATATAAAATAAAAGTTATAATTATCTTAGTAATTAAATATGCACTAACGAATTAGATAATGAAAAGAACATTAATAATAAATTAAAATTAACATTATATTTTGTTATTGTTCGTTGTGTATATTTTATTTTACGAACGAGTTATTAAACGTAAAGATAATTTTCACGTACTATCTGCAATTGACGAAAGAGAGGAATAATATTAAATTAAAAAAAAAAAAAAAAAGAAAAAAAAATAAAAGAAAAGAAAAAAGATTAATAACAGAATTATTAAATGCACTGTCACAACTCGATGGAAAAGGAAAACAATTAAAATATTAATTTCAAATTAAACACAGAGTGTGTAGTAGACATGCGTATGTCTGAAACAATAATGCGTTACAGTAAATTTAACAATTTCACATTATATATAGACAATATTGAACATTGGAGAGTGGTAATGATATAATTATATAGGATAAAAATAATCATTACGCTGGTAAAACAAAATGGTATAATAGATAAAACATAGATAATAGTATATAATTGACGTCACACATCATAAGCTTCGATCAATCGTAATATATGTTGTAGAATATAAAATGAAAATATAATTCTTAATTATCAAATGTCTCTTGTTATTTTTCAATTTCTTTTTTTATTGTACTTTTTCATTCATTTTCTCTTATAACACACAATGTTCTTGTTAATTTGAATCGCGACATATGAATTGGAAAACTACCAAATATTGCGTATAGTCGGTATCTCTTATAGTATATCTCTTAGCAATAAGAAAATTTTTAATGTTTTCATAAATTTTTCATAATGTTCTCGACAATATCAATCGTGACGTATGGATGCATAATCATAAAATATCTATAGAGATATAATTTGTCGAGGCCTCATAAAATTTCGAATATTTTAATCAGTTTAAGTAGCGACAGTGTAAAGAACTACATATAATTAGAAAGAAATACATATAATTAGTTGAATGTGAAAATGAGAAACAGAGAACTTTGAGCGTACGTAGGTCGTAATGTTTGTTTGTGTGTGAGCGTGTGTGTGTGTGTGCGCGTGTGTGTGTGTGTGTACGTAAAAGAAAACGAAAGTTTTTCTTATCGTATTTACTTCAACCCGATGTAATATATTCTTATTAAAAAGTAAGACGAAAATTTTTATGAAATATATTTATCGTAGACATACACAACGAGATAAATGTAAAAATTATAGAGATATATATATATGTTGAAATTACATCGATTGAAAAAGTTCCACGATTGTTAATAGAATATAATATATCATCAAATTGGAAACATTTGATTATCACATATTTATAATACTAATACATAAATAAAATTTTATTATAATATATTGTACAAATAAAATTTTATTATAATATATTGTACAAATAAAATTTAATTATTATATCTGACGAAATGATTGTAGAAAAATTTATCGTATTATTTATTAAAATCAATGTAATATTACGAATAAATTATATTATTTTATTTATCAACGATTAATATTAAAACCATTGTAATTAAAAAAAAAAAAAAAAAAAAAGAAAAAAAAAATAGAACGATAAATTATAAAATAATAAATATAGAATACTCGATCTAACTTATACGATACTTCATAAGTATGACAATAAAATTTACGTAAAACAAATAAAAACTTAGTATAAGTTATAACAGTACAGTATAAAGGTATAATGATAAAATGAAAAAAAAAAAAAAAAACAAAAATATTAATTAAGCGAATACTTATATTATTGTGATTGTAATCGTAAATAGAATATTTAATGTCGCTAATAAGACTTACTACTCGATGTCAGTACGTTCGATGATTAATAAATAACTCTTATGAGTGTTTTAGAATGTTTTCAAAAAAAATTCAATTTTATATATTCAAATTTGTTGCATACATGCGCCAAGGAGAAACTGTGAGAAATAAATTCATTGATATGAATAACTGATATTTGTTTGTTCTTAAAAATAAGTGCATGTGTATATATATATATATATATATATATATGATATGTGTATAAATATAAAATGATCTTGATTTAAAAAATTTGATTTTTTAATAATCCAAAGAAATGGAAAGAAAGATAGAGATAGAGAGAGAGAGAGAGAGAGAGAGAGAGAGAGAAAGAGAGACAGACAGAGAAAGAGATGTCGCTGAGTTATAGGATAAAACGAAGAAGAAGATAATGAAGTAAATGAAATGAGTTTATATGAAAAGATCAATTAATTTTTTACTCACCGAAGAATACCAAATGAAAATATGGTAAACGATAAGAGTAATGAACGATCTTTTAAGACAGATTATATCTTTATCTTAGTTCCTTGAAAATGATCTTTCTCGTTCTTATTCCTCTAAGAATTTTTAATAAATTATGATAAACGTTCTCGCGATGCACTCTTCTATTCTTTCGACTATCTACGAATATAAACAGGAATTATTATTAGAGAAATTATTATTAGAAGAAAAAACTATAGAATACTATATTATAGTACATAACAGAGAACTGCGTTGTTGTGACGAGATCGACACCCGTTCAATTTGTTACTGTACAACTTCAACCTTGCATTTTCATTTCTTTCTCAGTCGTCTCATTCATTATCTCTTCACATTGTTTCCTTCTTTGTTTCGTATATTTTTCTAACACCGCTCTTTTATTCTTTCTTTTTCTATCTCTCACTCTCTTTCTCGGTCTCTCTTCTTTTTCTCTTCTAAGCTTAACCTTATATTTTTCTCACTCGCGCACATAAGATCGTTCATCCTTCTTTATTCGTTCGTTCGTCTCTTGTCCGTACGTCCTCGCGTGTCGCCATTGTTCTCATCTCTATAATACTATTTTATTCTCTTCTTTTAATCGATCAAAAAAAAAAAATAATAATGAGAATTATAATAAACAGAAATTCTATACTGAATTTATATATATATATATATATTTTTTTTTTCTTGTATTTTTTATTTTGTATTACGGATGCTTTTTTTCTATTTTTATTCATTTTCTTTTTTTATATTACATTTAATGAATTAACTTATCCTTAAAATATACAACAAAAATAAAGAATTAAAAATATTTGTTGTTAAGAGAAAAATTTTGTTTCTTTTCATTATTCAGTAAGTATTAACTTTGGACTCGAAATTATCATATCGACTGAGAAAATTTATCACCTGTCGGTAATATACCATATATCGTAAAAAAATAATAAATATTAATATAGAAAATATCTTAAGGGTGTAATGAGTAGAGTTAAAAATAGTTCGTCCTCTAAATGATAAGACAAGAGCTATTTCATATATTTTCAAATATAACAATGAAAATAAATATAAAGAAAAAGAAATAAAATAAAAAAAAAGGACATAAAAAATTCTTCTAATTAGTATTAAATCAAATTGTCAAAATTATTATTCTATTGTTATTCGATGGTCGTGTGATATAAAATAAATAAATCGATAAAGTAATATGCATGTGTAATATTTTTGCACGAATTATTAATTGCATTAAATATTTTCAAATAAGAATATCAATGCGCTTGTGTTTGGAGATTTTAATTAATAGTCAATTTCGTAGAATCAATTAGCGATCATATATCAATGCCTACTTCGTATTAATGAATATAATATAATTCTTATAATATTTCATTTTCATAAATGAATCGATTCAATAATTCATATTGTCGAATGATTTGTAGCAAAAATTATATAATACAAATTGTTTAGTATAAAGTATTAAAACTTACTACGAAAAATCGTCTTTAAGGATATAAAGAAATTATAGAAAATATGAGTCACATTATAATTGCGATTTATTTCATTTAAATTGGAAAATTAGAAAGCGAAACAATAGATTTGATCGTTATTATTTTATTGGTATAAATTTGACTCTAAGAGGTTTAGAAGTACGTAAAATAATATTTCCTGTAATTTTAATATCATCTAATTCGTCGACTGGTTCCAAATGATAGTTGTGTAATATATAAGCTATCATTAATTTCATTTCGAGCATAGCGAATTTTTGACCTGTCAAAATAAAAACAAAAATATTAAAAATAAATGAATAAAACAAAAAGAGAAAAGTACAAAGCCGAAATAATAAATAATTTCGAGCTGATTGTTTGTTGATTGCAATACCTACCTATACAATTGCGTAACCCTGCGCTAAATGGTATGTACGAATATGGATTACGTCCTTTCATGTTTTCTGGTAAAAATCTATCGGGATCGAAAACATTTGGGTTCGGCCAATATTCTGGATTTCTGTGTAAATGGTAGATGCTTACGCGGCAATTAACACCGGCTGGGATTAAATAATTATCTGAAAAAAAAGAAAAAAGATAAATATATATATATACATATAATACGTGCCCGTTAGTTCTATCATTTGATATCTCGAATAATCATCCAGAAAAAGGGTATTGATAAAAATAAATTATTATTTTTTATTAAATTACATCACATACCCAATTGCAAATCCTCTGTCAAGTAACGTAATACAAAAGGAGTAGTGGGAAACAAACGTAGTGATTCTTTTATGCATCTTTCCATGAATGAAAATTCATTAAGCATTGACATCGTCAAATCGCAATTATTCTGTTTCATAACGGCGTTCACTTCTTCTCTTATACGTTCCTATAAGTCAATCGGATCACGCATCGATTATTCATTTTTGATCCAAAGACCTTTCTATCGTAGTTTTTTTTTTTCTATTTTCTTTTTTCTTTTATTTCATTATTTTCATTATTATTAAACGAATCAATTCGATCGAAAGTATTACCTGTATTGATTTGTATTTTGCAATATGAAGCAAAGCAAAACATAATGATGTTGCTGTAGTGTCATGACCCTGTAACAATATATTATTTTTTATTTTCTTGTTTATCCTTTTCCACGAATCATTTTCATTTATCTCTTATTGCACGTTGTAGATTACATATTATGTAATATTTACACGTACGGCAAACATAAAAGTATCGACTTCTTCTTGAATTCCTTTATCATCGATTTGATTATCGTTCATTGATGCGGCTATCAGAAGATCTAACATAGCAAGTCTTTTTTTGATCAACGTATCTGTAACAAAAAAAAAAAAAAAAAAAAAACAAAATAAAGATCGATTGTTGCTTCATTCTTTTTTCATCGACATTATAAATCATATATTGTCATTGTAAAACTAAAAATACTCTTGTTAATATCGCTGGTTCCGTTGGTGAATATGTCGTCCTCATTCATGTTGTCAAAATTTTGTAAATATTTCCCGTTGGTTTCTTGATGAAAACGTTTCCTTTCTGCAATTATCTGAAATAATGGTAAAGAAAGAAAAAAAAAAATAAACGAATTGATCGATTATTTGCTTGATTTTGATGTGAGAAAATAAAAGAAATCGTACGGTTGAGGAAAAATCGTGCAACGTTTTTAAAAGTTCATTCTGCTTTCGTCCAAGCGATGTAAATGAAAATATAAAATCTGAATGATACCAAGGTCTCCCCAATCTAAAAAAAAAAAAAAAGAAAAAAAAAAGAAGAGAAAAGAACGATACATCTTTTTCTTATTATTAGAGCGATAATTTAATCTACTTTGGAATTGTTTAATTACCTGTACGGCACGATTCTGCCAAAAGCGTGTACAGCTTCACGATATTTACTCTGTAATTCACTTTTATCCTTTAGAGATGTACCCATGGCAGTTTCTACGAAAATAAACATTAAATATAAATCATTTATCCTTTTTAATAAATATTATAAAAATTATATTTAAGATATTAATCTGAATTGACTAACTAACCGCATATAGCGTTTAAAGAGTGCTCGGTAATAAATGACATGAGATCTTTAATTATTGGTCCATCTTTAGATTCCTTATTGAGTATACTTATAAGATACTTTGCCTCCTCGTTGAAGGTCATAACAAAATGTTTAAGGATATTAAAGTGAAATGCAGGCGTTAACAATTTTCGCCGTTTTTGCCACTTGTCACCTTTCAAATAAGACTTCGTCTTAATTATCATTTACTTAGAAATAATAATTATTTAATTAGAAATTATTATATCAAATTCATCATTATTACCACTGCTCGTTATCAATCCTTCGGACAGCCAAGGTTGTAGAAATTTATAAGCTATACTTTTTTGTATATGTTGTTTACTCCTCATTAGTTTCTACGATGGAAATAAAAAATTTATATAAATATGAATTTATATAAATACATATAGATATATGTATATATATATGTGTATATATATAAACATTTTCTTTTTTTTTTTTCCAATAAAATTACGTTAACTTAAATGAGTAAAAAGAAAATATCACATTACTCATAAACGTTTGTATTAAAAAGTACGCGTATATTATTTTTGTAATAAATTACGATAAAATTTATTATGATTTTGTACTTATCATTATTTACCTCAACATCATTCGGATGAAGTAAAGCTACCGACGCAAAAAAAAAGGACCATATTTTATAGATTGGATAATGTGTTTTATCCTTCCCGACAAGTTTATCAAAAGCATCATCTAAAGTATAAATAAATAAAGCGTTAACGTTAAATTAATATTCAATGTTAAGTTAAACAATGAGTACGCTCGAACGAACGTTATCTTTTTTCCTCTTTTTTTTTTTTTTTTTTTTCCCCAAATGGTACTTACCATTTTCTAATCGAAATCTTGGCACATTACCTATTATCGGAATTGATTTTGGTCCTGGAATTAGTTCAAGGAGTCTTCCTATTCTTCGGTATTTTATAAAATAGTGTAATAAGATTAAAAATGAAATAAAACCCAATAAGATCGTGAACATTATATCTATGAAAGAAGCGAAAAATTAATTGAATAAAATGCTTTACACACACACACACACACACACAAATATATATATATATATAATCTTATAGAGAGCAAAAACAAATAAAAGAAAAAAAAACAAATTACTGTAGGTAATATGAAATCGTATAAATATAAAATAGAAATTATAATTATCTTAGTAATTAAATATGTCCTAACGAATTAGATATTGGATAGTCATTAATATTAAATTAAAATTATCATCATATTTTGTTATCGTTCGTTTTATATACTATTTCACGATTGAGTTATTAATCGTAAAAATAATTTTTACGTACCAGTTTTAATTGACGAAAGGGGAGAATAATATTGGAATAAAAGAAAAAAATAAATAAACAAAGAAAAGAAAAGAAAAGAAAAAAGAAATAATAAATATAACGAAATCGATGAAGTATCAAAAATTATTAAATACACCCTCACAGTACACTGTCACAACTCGAAGGAAAAAGGAAACAATTATAATATTAATTTCATTTTAAGCCCAATGTCAGTAGTAGACATGCATATGTCTGGTACAATAAATGCGTGATTTAATCATTTCACATTTTATATTGGTGATATTGATCTGATCATGAGAGAGATAATAATGATGCATTTGGATAGTTGAAGGATAAAAAGAATAATAATGTTGTTAAAGCGAATTGATAATTAGGTAAAATGTCGGTGGTAGTATATAAACGTTATCTCGCACTTAAAATTATCATAAATCAGAAATTTTTATCAATTACAATAATCATTATTAAAGAATCTAGCACGAAAATATAATTTTTAAATATCAAATGTCTCTTGTAGCGTTTCAATCTTTTTTTTTCTTTTTTTTTTTTATTTATTCATTAATCTTCTCTTATAAAACAAAATGTTATTGATTTATTTGGATCGCTGTATATGAATTGAAAAACTATCAAATACTGCGTATAATCAATAGTAAAATAGTAATAATAAAATTTCAAATATTTTAATAAATTTTTCATGATCACAATATCTTTATATTAATATAATTCATTAAATTTTGAATATTTTATTAATTTTAAATAGTACAAGTGAATGAGAATAGAGAATACAATTGATTGATTGGTTACCAAAATGAAAAATTGTGAACTCTGAGCATACATATTTTGGAATGTGAGTGTGTGTGTGTGTATGCAAAAGGAAACGAAAACTTTTTCTTATCGTATTAACTTTACACTGATCTGATATTATCATACCAAAATTTAAAGTTATGATGAAATATATTTTTTTAAATACATACTCGAGATAAGTGTTAAGATTAGAAAAATATATATGTTCAAAGTACATCAATTTAAAAAGTCCCGAGATGATTAGCAAGATATAATCCATTGTACAAAAGGAAATAAAAAATTTAATTATAATATATGCTTATCATATTATATAATTTAATTATAATATCTGACGAAAATTAAATCCCATTGTATTATTTATTACAATCAATGTAATATTACGAATAAATTATTTTATTTTATTTACCAATGATCAATATAAAAATCATTGTAATTAAATCTTATTATTATTAATTTAAACGTTACGAATGATTATTGCTGGAGACACGGGAGTAATATTAACGGGTTTAATTGCAAAAAGAAAAAGTTGCATAACGATAAATTATGAAATAATAATTATTAAAGTACTCGATGTAACTTATACGATAAATGACAATGGATTTGACAAAAAAGAAAAAAAAAAAAAAAAGAAAAATAAAAAGAACAAATAAAAACTTAATACAACTTATAAAAGTACAATATAACGATAAAATAGAAAATAAATTAATTATGGGAATACTTACGTTATTGTGATTGTAATCGTTAATGGATTATTTAACGTCGCTATTAAGACAAATTATTGGACGTCAACACGTTCGATGATTAATAAATAACTCTCGCGGGTGCATTAGAATGTTTTATAAATATTCAACTTCATGTATTTATCTTTATTATATCAAGTGCAACAAAATGTTAATTTATATATGCACGTAAGAGAAATTGTGAGGAATAATTTCTCTTATATATAAACTAATATTATTTTATAATATATGATGCATGTTTATATATTTAAACCAAATGAACGATTGCTTCTTATATCTGCGCTTTTATATACACGCACACATACGTAGACTTACACGTGCGTACACACAAAATAGATTATTATATTTATATATGATGTGATTTTTATCTAATTGCTTTACCGTAGACGAATATATAAATAGATGAATTAATCTATACATTTAATTCCGTTAAAAATAAATAAAATATGTATGAGGAATTTTTGTAATTCGAATTTTTATTAAACACGATTATTTATTTTATTTAGAAGATCACATTGTATTTGCATATTTTCTAAAATCATTTTAGGTGATTGCATCAAAGAGAGAAGTATTTTATACATATATATATATGTATATATATACATATAAATATTTAAAATATATATATATACACACACACATATATATATATATATATATATATATATATATATATATATATATTTAAAATGATCTTGATTTGAAAAATTCAATTTTCTAGTAATCAAAGAAAATGAAAAGAGAGATCGATGATAACATTCTCACCGGATGTATTACTGTAACACGTGTATAGATTTTATAATCCTCTTCAAAATGAGAAGATATTGAAAAAGATAACAACAGATATTGACACTTCCGTTCAGTTTTATCTCTCTTGTCTTTTAATAGTACATATTCATCAATGCGTAGATTGAGTACAAAAAAAAAAAAAGAAAAAGAAAAAAGGAAAGGAAAAAAATATATATATATATATACATGCATATGTTTATATAAAATAAAAAATTAATATTGATAAATAATAAGAGATGAAAAACGAAACAAATTTCCGTATAGAATGATTCTTCATATATTCTTATTGAATTTATTTTTATGATATTATATTTACGTTAATACAGAAAAATCTATTGGAATGACATTGTGTGTTTAATATAATTGTGGATGCTTCTCGTAATTATAATAATAAATCGTACAATTGATTTGCGCAAAGTAAATATATCCATTCGTTATTAATATCCATTTTCTTTTTTTTTTTTATTTCTATCTGAATCCTGTTTCTCGCCCTTTTCTTCTCATCGTCTAATCTTTCTTTCTTTCTTTTTTTTTTTTTTTATTTCTAATATACGAATAAAGTTAAAAATGAAAAAGTAAAAAAGAAAATTATTTACATTACCTGTCAATTCGCAGATATATATTATATAACCATGTCAAATTATATATCGATTTCACAATTAATATTTTTTTTCCTGTTTAAAATTAACAGTTCACATGTATACAAATATACATGTAACCTCAAGTATACGTATCATTTTGCATAAATTAAGAATATGTTACTTAATGATCTATTAACCGCACAAGGCAGTTTTTTCTTTCCAATTTTTTTTTTGTTTTTTTTCCTTTTTTTTTTGTTTTTTTTTCTTTCTTTTTTTCTTTTTTTTTTTTTTTTTTTTTTTTTTTACAATATTGTAGCGAGCAAACAAATTTGTTTTTTTAAATTATATTGCCACCGTTCACGAATGTCAATAAAAAAAGATCATTCTTACATCAATCTATAACTTCTAATTCCAATATACAAAGTTTTATTTTCGAATATTGTAATGGTAATCTATAATATAGCATGTAGAGATATTTTATATACTCCTTCTTTTCTTTCTATCTTAAGCATCTAATACGGACGAGTTATATGTAATATTAGTATCAGTATTAATAATAATAATAATAATAATAATAATAATAATAATAATAATAATAATAATAATTATTATTATTATTATTATAACAATAATAATGCTACATTGTATCTGTGTGTATATATATATATGAAGTTATTAAAAAACAATACAAATCTGTATGTGAAATTAATGCTTTATGATGGACATATATAATCTATGACTATATAAAGTTATATCGGAATAAAATAAAGTTTTATTCTGTGAATGGTGTTCGTTCCGCTAAGTGAAGATATCGAAAATTAAAAAAAAAAGAAAAAATAGGAAAAAAAAAAAGAGAAAAAAAAAAAGAAAATCTCATTAAAAGTATTTCTACATAATATAATAAGTTGTAAAAGTATGTATTAAATTCTAGTATGTTTTTTTTGTTTTTTTTTTTTTTAATTCTCAAGAATTCTATAGAATATGTCAGACGATTTTTCGTTTTACGTTTTATTCCGAGCGATGTCACTATTTTTTTTTCTTTTTTAATTTTTTACCAAAGAGAAATAGAATATTCAAAAATACGCTTATGAATTCCAGTTGTTGTTAATTTTGTTTTTATTTATCTCTTCTTTCCTTCTTATCGTTTTATCGTCGTGACCTTCGTGCACGTGGGCCACCGCCACGTCCACGTGAATATCCACGTCCACGTGATGACTTATTCATTTGCGGAGTGTGCGAAACTTCTACGCTAACTGGCGTTGTTTTTTCAAGCTCCGTATGTTCCTTCTCATCGCCGTCGTCTATTAAATTTCCTATTTCAAGATCATTGTCATTGTCTATGTCAGCCCACATTTTTTCAGCTGGCGTTTTCTTACTCTCTTGTTCATTGTTAATGACATTATCGATGGTTTGTTCATTATTTCCACTGGTTTCATTATTCTCATCTTCCTCAGATTCTGCATCAGCTTCCAATGGATCATACTTTTCATCACCATCGGTTTTCTTTTGAACCGACGAACTTTCATTGCTGTTATCTTGTGTTTCTTTAGTTTCACCATTATCTTCATCCTCGGAATGGATAATTTTGCGACGTTTCCAATTACCTTCATATTCCTCGCTATTTTGCGATGAATTATCTCTTTTGATCTGTTAAAAAAAAACATATACGGTTTTAATGATATATATATATATATATATATATATATATATATATAATAAAAATAATTAAATATATAAAAATATTGTAAAAAAGATTATATTTATTTATAATAAAAATTAATAGCTTACCTCAACATCCTCAGTTTCTTTAGATTCTGTATTTGTGATATTAGCAGTTAAAGATTTAACCTCTTGCACGAAATTTCTATAATGCGTTATACTACGAAGATGAGCGTTCATGTCTTCGGATAATAACATAAATCTACGACATTTTTCACAATAATATCCTTGTACTTCCTTCACTAAAGATTTACCTATTTGAAAAGAATTTTTTTTTTCCCTCATTAAATAAATATACAACAACTTCATAGTACGCGTATATTAATAATTAGAATTAATGATCATACGTAAGATAATTATTAAATTTTTATATACCTATGGATAATTGATTTTGTCGACAATGCCTGTAAGAAGGTATTTTAAATTTCTTATCTTTTAGATTTTCGGTAATGTCAGTAATATATTCATGTTCTCCTGGTTCATCTTCCTTTTCACTTTTTTGATCAGGACCAACGTCCTTCTCTTCATCATCGGCATTACGAACTTCGGCTTCGCCCTTTCCAAGTTTTTCTGTAATTATTTTATCGTCATAAATAATACGTTTGTCAAATAAAACGTTTATATTATAAAATTAACATATGCCCAATGATTTTGAACTTTAATACGCTTCAACTCACCTTTCTTTTTATTCTTACGTTGTTCTTCACATTGTACAGCATTTTTCATATGAGCTGGCGTTAAGCAATGTTCATCGTACTCTATACGAGATGGAAATTCTTTTAAACATGGGAAACAACGTGGATGCAAAAATGTTTTCAATTGTTGATGTTTATCGCTCTTACGATGCGTCGACAATGTTCCATAAAAATTTAAATCGCACATAGTACAATATTCTCTTATATTGAGATCTACAGGAATCTAAAATTTGTACATAGAAAATATTATTATTATTATTATTATTATTTTTTTTTTTTTTAATTAAAAAGTATCTGCATGAGAGAATAAATTTACATCGCATGTGACGGCTGTTCACTAAAGTTTCCTTATAATTATCCTTATATATTATTAAGTTTCCTTAAAATGTATATACATATATATTTTTTGCTTTCTCTTTATTATAATGACAAGCAGAAAAAAAGATAGGTCAGTATAATTGTTCTTGAAAAATAATTCTTTTAAGTAATTTTATATAATTTTATATGATCATTAGGTCATATATTGAAATACAATACAAACCTTTTTGCCTCGACGTTTAGAATTATTTAAACTAAGTCCACGTTGTTCTTCCGCTACTCTTAATTCGTGTCTCATTAAATCAACTTTTAATTTGTACGATTCGTCCAATTTTTCCATCATTAATTGATGTGCACGTCCTCTTAAATGATTTTCAAAGGACTGTAAAAAATGTTTTATTATTATTATTATTATTATTATTATTATTATTATTATTATTATATATTTGTAAATAATATAATATATAATTATTTACATAACCATCCCACATGTGTTTGTTGCATATATAACAAAACATATGACTCATTGGTACTTCCGCATAACGGCTCTCTGCATGTCTAGCTTCAGATTTCTTTCCAGTTGCTTTTGAATCCTTGTCTGAGGTATTTGCATTTGCTTCTTTAGATGTATCATCTGTGACAGCTGCATTAGTAGCAACAGCGGCATTAGTAGCATTAACGGAAGTAGTAGGAGTAGTAGTAGTAGTAGTAGTAGTAGTAGCAGGAGCAGTACCAGGAGATTTCTCCATTTTACTTTCGTCTTCGTCTTCATTTTTAATTTTTATTTCTCCATCATTTATCTTATCTGTTTTAATTTCTTCCATTTCATTCTTCTCATCCTTCCAGTCACGTTTTTTATCTTCAGATTCTTCCACAGGTTCACTGATTCAAAGATACATACATGTCTTTCATTGAAATATGTTTATATATATATATATAAATATATATTATAGATTTGATATAAGTATATCATAAACAAGAAAATCTAAATGCCTATGATAGACATCATAATTTAGAATGTTAACATGTGATCAATTATCCAGTAAATATTATATACATAAGATATGTATGTAAAACTTAGAAAATTGATTGGGCAGAAGATTTCTCACACTTTACGGAACACCAAATCGTGTTTGAAAATTTTTAGTCGTCCACTATTGTCAGACTAAGTACACTAGATATGGTGTTTTTAGATAATAAGGGCATGTGAGAATAAATCGATATGTGTATGAATTTCGATGTAGTGTAAATGTATTGTCATTATTGAAAAGTAAATAATGCTCGCTAAGTATCATTTATAATATGGAATAAATATGTGATGCAATTTAATGACAGAAAAGAGAAAGGAAGTAGTGTCGACTGTATTATAAACAGTATAACCAAGAAACATCATACATACAAAGATAGATGACAGAATGAGACTTACTGAAGTTTGAAGAAACTATTCGCAATCACCAGGAGCTTACCTTTTAACAACAGGTGCTTCTGCTTTTTCATTATCAGAGGTCTTATTGTCCTGCTGTTCCTTTTTGGCAGTCTGATTTTGTTTAGAGGCAGGAATTGGTTTAGAAGATTTATCGTTGCGATGTTGATTTTGGTTTCCATTCATACGTTGATTGCCAGACTGGGGTGCACGAGATTGTTGTGCAGATGGGCCACGTCGCCCAGCAGGGCCATCTCGGGCTCGATTGCCCATCTAGTCATTGTAGGTCAAATGACCAAACCATCATGAGAAGTATCTGATAAAACTGCGATTCTTCTCAAGTCGAATTTGGTTCTAAGAGAACCACTGGACACTTGAGGGAGAAAAATGTTCTATTCGATATGGAAGCAGGACATGTATGGCGAAACAACGAAGGTCATTGATTCCACTCAAAGGTGGAAGGGAAAGGAAAATCATAACATTTAGTTGAAGATGCTAAACGTAGCACATAGTTTTATTTTGTATCTGCAATGATCATTATGATCATGCTTATGATATTTATAAAACTGTTTTTGTCCTCCAAAAGAAATTTATCATTGGAATGAAGAAGACTTTTAAGTCCCACATGCGTGCAATTGTTTTGAAAATATCTGTACCATCGACTTTATTTGAGATCGATAGACAGAAGACAGAATATTGGTGAAACAAGTCGACGAAAAATAATGCCCATATATTATCACTGAAATTTGTGCCTCAACATTTGTTGTTAATTTCCATAGAACAAATGGAAAGAGACATTTGAAATCAATATCTATCAGCAGAGATTTATAATGAAATTGTATAATGATGATTTATTCCCTTGAAAATCATAGGATACAAACTTTGTCAAATGATAACAATTGTTTATATCTTTGTGATTCATAGAGTATTTTTGATCGAATACCTGAATTGTCAATCAAGCAACTTGATATGTGAAGACGAATTTTAAGTATTGGGATGTTTCAAAGATACAAAAGAATGAAAGGAAGTGTGGACTAAAATTTGCCCATTTTCAACTTCCACTTAAAAATCCAATCTAAATATTTTAGAAAGGCATATGCCTATTTCTAAAAACAAAATATCATAATAGTTGCATACCTTATTGTACGGTTGTGGTCGTTGATTCTTGACTGGATGTCTTATTGGACGATCATTAAATCGTCCTGATGAAAAGTTTTGTTGATTTGGAAAGTTTGGCCCAGGTCCAGAAAAATTATTTCCAAGGCTGAGTAAAGATGGTACCTTATTCAAAAGGGAATAATTATTTTAATAAAAAGCAAAAAAATCTTAAGGAAGCTATACAGTAATTTTATATTTCAAAAATTATATTTCATTTTGCGTGGGGAAATTGGGGGGGGGGGGAAATAAAAAAAAAAAAAAGGAAAAAAAAAATATATATATATAAGAACTCACTTGTGGTTGCGTTTCTTGTTGAGTACGTAACAAATTTGAAAGAAGATTACTAGCTATCGCTAACTGCGCTTGCGGAGAAGCCAAAGATATATTATTATTTGGAGTAGGTAAAATTCCTCTTCCAGGCATCATTCCACCTTCCCAAGGATTCATACCGCTATTTCCTCCTCCTCCACCCATACCGCCACCCATATTGTTCCCCATTCCACCTCCTCCTCCTCCACCACCAATATTACCAGGTCTACCTCCACCTCCTCCGCTATTACCACGATTATTGAAGTTTCGATTCCCAAAGGAATCTCTTTTTAATCCACGATTAAAAGACATGTTGACTTTCTGTAAGACGATTAGACGCGAATCTATTAAAAATACATTTTAGAATGATTATGACGATACTCCAAAGTTTTATGGTACAATAAATATTTATATATATATATATATATATAATTTGAATTTATAATTAGAAACATCTATATATTTACATCGGATAAATATTTGAGAATTTATTCATCAATATAATCTATTGCGTCTCATGTCGCTAAATATCTAAGGATAATAAAATTATTTTCGGTATTACGAAATACAGATATATATATCATAGAAATCCAATAAAATGTAAATAAAATTAATACGAATCTCAATGATCTTAATAATAATATTTCGTTTGAATAAATAATTTATATGGATTTTTATAAAACAAGACGCCGACGTAAATCTGTAAAGAATTTATCGTAGGCGTCCTTATGAAAATATATATGTATATATATATATATATACACATATATTATCTTTCGATATTAGAAAATCCATATGATATTACATATCATTTTCAATGATATAATTTTTCTTTATGAATATTCTTTAAAATTCCTTGAAAATAATGAAATATATTGAATAATATACTTACCGAAATATGTCTGGGCGTGGAATAAGAGAAAGAATATACCCAAGCCTAAAGCGAAATGGAAATTGCCAAAGCAGGGTTGCCAAACGCTTAACCAATAATTGTTGCAAACTGTTATATCTTAAAGATTACAAAGAAAAAGTATGTAAGTTAAAACGAACGTACGATTATATTAGTACTATCGTTTAACACGAAATTCAAATCGATAATCAATGTTCACTTATCTATACGATAAAATATTTGCAATTGGTAAATATCGTAAATTTTTGATTGGCTAATCGAGTTAGCCAATCAAAAGAGCTTCCTCCGTTGTACGATTGGTAGCTTGTAGGTTAGAAATAATCTCATTGGTTCGTAATTCGATACCTCGTAACGGAA